GGTTTCTTTCCCCATAATCTAGGAATCAATTTTCATATGTCATTTTTCTCAACTGATGCAATCATCACTTCTACAAAATTCTCTAATTTGCTTTTTTTATTGCTTCATCAAACACTATAAGATCACGTTTAGCAAGGTGACAATATAATGTTACATTATCAATAAGATTAGTTACCTCATATAAATCATCAAGTCTCTTCATTTTTTTTGATGGACTTGATAGAGTGTCACTACTTGAGCGTCTACTAGAATAAGAAAAAAAAGAAGAGAAGTTGCGCTCACTGGTGTTTGTGGAAGTGTAATTATAGATTCTTGATAATTTTTATATCTTTTCTCATTTTCATAAAAAATTAGTAGGAAGTCACATTTTTCATTATCATCTACCTTCCAATTCTATGTTTATTTTTCATTGAACTCAACATTTCTACTAATCACCATCTTTTTTTATTATGATTGTAAATATTGTATCCTCTAGATTGTTGATCATAACCTACAAAAATCATTTTCTTTGAAAACGATCCCTTCTTTGACGGCATAAATTTGTAGGAATTCAAGCAAGAATGACGCATCAATGGCCATCATCCAGGCTAAAGTCTCATTACTAAAATCTAAGAACTTATGATAACAAGCTCGAATCTTCAACTCAAGGCTGATCAAGTTATCAACAATGTGTGAAAACTTGAGGCTTTCGAGGCGTTTTTGAGCTCTTTTGGCCGCGGCGAGCTTGTACCTCTCCATCTCATAGAGCTCCGGACGCCAGTAATGGTATGGACCTATTGCAACTTGCTGTGGAACATAGCAATCTGGGCAACTTGTCATTAGAATTTTAAGGACATTGAAAATACAGACAGGAATTTCAGTGTCATCTTCAAGCTCCTCGTCGAGTGTTCGACGAATGTTACTTATCCATCGATGTTCATCAAAGTTTGGATTTGCATTGGAGGGCATGGTGGAATGGCGAGAAGGCATGTTTGTGCTCTAGAAAAAAAGATTTTTGTTCTGGCAGTTCAAGTCATTTGCATTTAGTGATAAAGAAGTAATTAAGTGAGGTTTTATAGTCACAGGCCAATAAATTAGACCTTCACTATTGGTTTTTTCTTTTGTTTTAATTTTTGGTCTTAAGCATTCACTAGCATTAAAGGGGGCATTAATTATATGGTTTATTATTTAATATTGAAAAGCAAAACGTTTCTCTTACTTGGTTTATACTAAACATTTAACACTCACTTTTTTCACATTGGATCATATGCACTAATTAAGATTATTTAAAAAATTATTAAAGACATATATTATTGATGGATTATCTTTCTAAAACCTTCTCCATTTAAAAGCCAATATACAAGAGTCACACTTCAATACAAGATTGTTACTTTTTCAGCGTAAAACTCCATGTTGGAGTATGGCATGCCCTCCTCCAACTTTGAGATGGGTAAGGGCACGTTCTCGCCTAGCTCCAAGTGAGGTCAGTAGTGTCCACGTCTAATTTCAAGTGGATAATATTTTTTTTTGAATTTTTTTATTGATTTTTTTTATATTATAAAAAAAATAAATTAATATAATTTTTTATATTATAAAAAATTTGGGTGATGATAATTGTTTTCATTTTAGGTTGGGTTTAATTTTTTTTATTAAAACATGTTTTTGCGTTTTAAAAATACTTTAAAAAATTTTAATTTTTTTTTTATTTTTAATTTTATGTTTAAATATATTTAGATTGAGTTTAGTTACATAGCCGATATATTAAATTGAATCTTGCCTCACATGACCCATTCGAGTTAGATTCGAGTTAGGTCCTTCCCTTGTAAGGATCCAAAATAGCTTTGGGTTCAGCCATAACTAGACCCATTAGCCCCTTCAGTCTTGCTACGGTTAGACCCATCAATATTGGGTCCTACCCTTAACAAGGCTCAATGCTTTTAATTTTTTTTTTATGTAATTTTTTCCTATAAAGTAAATAAGAAATAAATTGGTGGGAATTTTTTTATATTGTTTAAAAGTTGGGTGATCATAATTTTTTTTTCATTTGAGGTTATGTTGAATTTTTTTATTAAAGTATGTTTGTTTTTGCATTTCAAAAATTATTTGAAAAAATTCACAACTTTTTAATATTTTTCTCTAATATTATTGTATTAAAGTCAGTGGAGCTCTTAATACATTTTTTATTCACATTATATACTTTATATATTTTTATTATATAAGAGAATTTTTTAACAATAAAATCCATTAAAAAATAGTTTATAAATATTATAATATAATATTATTTTGTGTAATAAAAGATATTTTAATTTTATAATATGATATTCAAAGTTTAATCAAAGTTTTATTATCTTTAAATTTTTTATTTAGTAGTTTTGAATTATATATATATTATTAAATACATGAATAAATTATGTGTTAAGTCGTGCCTTCATCGGGATCCATTAGAGTTAGGTTTTGTTGGGGGTAGGGTTCAAAGTAGTTTTGGTCCCTACTGCATAATAGAACCTCATAATTTTGGAGACCTAAAAGCATGAGGTCCAGATCTAATTTTCTTGGGTCCTCCATCAGGATCAAAGACTAATGGTTTTTTTAGTCTGAAGTTAATTCTAGTCTTGCATCAGAACCCAAAAGTAATAGTCATAAAACAAGACCCAACATTAATAGGTCCTGTGTTAGGACTCATTTCGCTGTGGTCCTGCCTTGAATCTAATTCTTTTGGGTACTGTGTTAGGATCCAATTCCTTTTAGGTCAAGTGTCAAGATCCAAGTGTGATGACTCATGCATAAACGCCCAAGGTTAATGGGTTTTGTGTCAGGATCCATTTTGCTGAGGTCCTGAGTTATGATCCAATTTTTTTATATCCAGCGTAAACATTCAAGGTTCTTGGTTTTAGGTTTCTAAATATTATTATTTATATTATAAATATTGTTATTTTTTTCTAATTAAAAGTATTAATATAAAAATATTTTTTTATTATAATTAATAATATTGATAGTCAAAATATTATTATTTGTATTAAAAATATTATTTTTTTATTATAATTAATATTATTTATAAAATAATTAATAAATTTAGAAAAACAATTATTATCAATATTGAAAAACAATCTTAGATTTGATTTGAAGGGTAAAATTAAAAATTATTATTCTTATTGATATTATTATCATTAATAAAAAAATTTAAAAATACTATTATTATTGAAGACAAACCAATTTTTTAAAAAAGATTAAAAAAGATTATAATTTGGATAGACAATTTAAATATTATTATTTATATTATAAATATTATTGTTGAGTAGACTCGAAGTTTTTGAATGTGATGTTGCAATCAAACTCAACATCTTTTAACCCGAGATGTAGCCCATGTCACCTAGCTAGTATTAACTAAAAGTAGAAGTATTAAGAAAAACTAGCTCATGTATAATATTTGTATTATCTATATTGACCTTATCCATCAAAGTCTATATATATATATATATATATATATATGATAATGGGTTAAAAATTTTAAAAAATAAATATTATGGGGCAAGATTTTTAAAACTCGATTAACTCAGCTTAACCCATATATCCTATGGTCATTTTAACTTTATTTTTGATAATTTATAATTTAAATATTTATATTTATTTTATTTTAAAATTTTAGACTTCAAATTCTTGTTAATGAGCTTCGTATTAGATTTTTATTATATAATAAAAAGGATTCGTCCTGAGAAATGACTTAATATCCTTGAGGCCTGATTCAGAGTCTAAAAAAAATTATAATATAAATAATATTATTTTTAACATTAATATTATTAGGTATAATAAAAATAAGAATATTTATAACATAAATTATAATATTTTTTATATGAATTCTTTGAATTAAAAAAAAAATATTTATAACACAAATAATTATATTAAGAAACCATGAACCTTGGGTCCTGACATCAAATTCAATAGAGTTTTTAAGCCTGATTTGGTCCGGGTTTTGATCCAGTCATCTGAGTTAATTTTGATTGTTTTGATCCAGTCATCTGAGTTAATTTTGGTTGTTTTTTTAAATTAAAATAATATTATTTTATTAAAAAAATCAAAAAATTATAATAAGATTTTTAACTGGGTTTTATCTGGTTAATTAGATTAGCTTGGATTTTGACTTTTCTTATTTTTTTTTTAAACTCAATCCAGTTTTAGCTTTAGGTAAGTTAGATCCTGAGATGACTCATCAAATCAAGTTTTAAAATTATACCTGATCTAGATATAAAAAAAAATATTTATAACAAAAATAATTATATTATAAAACTTTAAAACCTTATTCCTGAAATAGGATCTTGCGAGTAATCTTGTTGAATTTTTGTAGTGTTGGGAGTGTGTCCAGCGATGTTGTGAGTTGTCACATTTGTTTAAGAAATTGAATAATTCTGAAAAATTAGGTGAGAAATATAATAACCAGTCAACATTAATTGTAAATTATTTTATTTAATATTTATGTTTTAGTATTAATATCATATATATATTTTAATTATTTAATTTAAATACATTTATAAATATTTTTTTTACCTTGATAAATAAAAAAATATGCAACCGATCCTCTGCTTGAGCAATCAATATTGAAAAATAGTCGTTATTTTTTAATTATTTATAAAAATTACAAAGACAACTACCGATTATTTCGAAAAAACAATATTAAGAAAATAATGAATAATGAAAAAAAGAAAGAAAGCTTTACCGTGTAAGGGCTGGACATGTGCAGCCTAAGAGTTTTAATAAAGAAAATCGAGCCGTATTAGACGATTGCATGTACAATAACAGCTAGGGTTGACCAGTTGTACAGCTAGGGACCTAGGGTTTTATTCCCTTTCTTCAAGGAAGGAAGTAGTTCTGTACTCGCAAGGATAAGGGCTCCACTCCGCATAGTCTCCAGTTTCCTTCTATATATAAGGAGACACATTCTTACAAGAAAAGAACTTCGCTGTAAGAAAAGAACCCATCAAGGCTAGCTGCAGTAGTTTACCATGGGGAGAACAAGAAAAATTCCAATGGCGAAGCGAGAAACAGCAGAGCAAAGGTCTGTTACTTTTACTAAAAGACGTCAAGGTCTTTTCAACAAAGCAGCAGATTTGTGCAGGATTTGTGATGCTCAAATTGCCATTATGGTCTCTTCAACTGGGTCCAAAGAAAAAGTTTATACCTTTGGCCACTCTTCCATTGATGCTGTCTTCGACAGGTTCCTCGACAGTTTTACAGCAGCCCCGGAAGCGGTAGCATACGAAGCAGGAATCAAGTCAGCCAGCAACTCCCTCTATGAAGAAATCAAGGCATTGGAGGGTGATGTTAATACTCTAATGCAAAACAAGAAGAGAAACGTTGGAGGGTTTTTATGGGATTCTTTAGAGGAGATTGAGCAGTCTAGTACTTCAGTTGAGGAGTTACAGGATGTTGTAGATATCCTGGAAAGTTTGTTGGGTCATGCCAAGAATAAGCTGATGAATAACGCAACTGAGAATGTTGTTATAAGCATAGCTGTTGAGCCAAAGCCTGATGATTTTTTGGCTTTAGAGCCTAAACCGCGAGATGATTCTTCATCTAGCTTGGGTGGTGATCAAATCGGTCAGAATTCTGCCATTGTAGGAGATAATGGTGCTAATTATTCTGATTCATATTGGAATGCTGATGGTTCAACTACTGATAGTGGTATGGAATTTCCAGTCGAAGTCGATGTGGATCTTATATGGAATCTCCTTGAGTCTTCTGATTTCAGCTCGTGTTCTGATAAAGTTATTTCCATTAACAACAGTAGTGACTGCACCTTCAGGGACTGCCTCTGAATCAGCTTCAGGCTATTGTTTGACTGATCAGCTGGGACTTTCATTGCTCACTACAGGTGCGAATCAGTTTGAAGATTGGACCAGATATTATCAATGTTGATTTTCTTCTTTGAGAACTGCAACTGTCAATCATCACTGATAGTTGCAACCTACTATTCTAGATTCTTTGTAAGTTGTTAACCATGTTTGGGTAAGTTTAAATTTTTCGGGAGGTTATGATTTTAACATAGATAATGACAAGGCATTCAATTTTGTTTTTCTTAAACAGAGTAGTCTCTAATTTTCGATTAAATTTTAGATTATCAACAGAATTCCTGTTATGGCTGATTAAGGTTAGCCCCACGAATCTTGTGTGTGTATAAAATGAATTTGCTGACAGCTGCGATATATATTATAAATGATAGTGGATTAAAATTTCTAAGAAATAAATGCTATATGTCAAGATTTTTAAAATATAATAACTCGACTCGACCTATTATTTTATGGTGATTTTAATTTTATATTTGATAATTTATAACTTGAACATTTATTTTTATTTTATTTTCACTAAATTCTTGTTAATAAGTTTCATATTAAATTTTTTTTAATATAATAAAAATCATGACATAAGATTAATTAGCTATAGAATCTAGGAGAACTGGATCATAATATAAAACTTATTAACCTTGGATCTTGATGTAAGATCCAAGAGCATTAAGACCTGACTCGGGATCCAATATCTTTAGGGCATGATAAAGAACTCAAAAGAAATATAATAAAACAATAATATTTGTAACATAAACAATACTATTAAAGTGAATACTATTAATTATAATAAAAATAATAATATTTATAATACAAATAAGAATATTTTTTATATGAATATTACTTTGAAGTATTAGAAAAATAAAAATATTTATAACAAAAATGAAAATATTTTTTATATGAATACTCTGAATTATAAGAAAAATAATAATATTTATAATAAAAATAATTATATTAAGAAACCTATGAACCTTGGGTTCTGATAAAGAACCAAAGAACATTGGGTTTTGATGTAGGACTCAAGAGCATTAGGTCCTGACGCCAGATCCAATACAATTAGGTCTAAACATTATAAGAAAAAATAATAATATTTATAACACAAATAATTATATTAAAAAACTCAAGAACCCAGTGTCCTGAACAGGACCCAAGGCCGATGAATTCTGCATATAGAGCACCCAAGAAAATTATAATAAAAATATTAATATTTATATTACAAATAATAATGTTTTTTATATTAATTTTTGAATTATAATAAAAATATTTATATTTAGAACATAAATTATAATATTTTTTACATGAATATTGTGAATTATAACAAAAATAATTATATTTAAAACATAAATAATTATATTTTTGAGATAAATATTTTGAATTATAAGAAAAATAATAATATTTATAACACGAACTATTATATTCATAACAAAAATATAATTATATTTTTGAGATAAATACTTTAAATTATAAACAAATAATAATATTTATAACACCAAAAATTATATTAATAAATCCAAAAGCTCAAGAATATTGGATCTTGACACACCACCTAATAGAATTGGATCTCCGCACAGGATGTAAAAGTAAGGGTCCCGACATGTAACCCAACAGAATTTGATCTTGATATAGGACCTAAGGTTGAAGTATCCTGAGCAGGTCTTCAGACTCACTTACTTGAGTCTACAGTCATGCGCACAGGTTTGATCCATCGCTTAGGGTAGCTTCAATACCATGTGTCTATAGCTTGGGGCCTGCAATCCCATTTAACGTACTGGTGTTCAAGGCTTCCAACCCCAATGTTAGGTGTTTGTAGCCTCACTAAAATTGAAACTAACTATTTTCTTCGCAACCATTCTTTCAATACCATATCCATCCTATAGTAAAATAATAACTCCACCTTTATCTTGCAGTCTTTGCAATTTTTTATGGCGAAAGTAATTCTATCATTACACTGCTCCAATATATAATAGTAACAGAATCACTAGACCTTTTAGTATATTTTATTTATTAAGTTCATTGTTCAGGTTCTCATTCTCTGGTTCGACTTCTTTGTCTTGTGAGAAAAGTTATTCAACAGGTTGTTTCAAGATTGAACATCCAGGAAGGTTAGAGACGATTGTCCAGGGCAATTTAAGCATGACCTTAACATGTCTAGAAAATAGCAATCTTTTGAGAAGACGCACCAGACCTTCGCTTAACCTTGAGATTAGGTTTGAATTCTCAGATGACAGACATTTGCCTTGCATTGCACCAAGCTGATCGTCAGCCTCATTTATCTCTTGATCTTGTGCTTCAATATTGGGCACAGTAATGTCATACATACAGTCTATCAAGAGGCAAGTAAGGTTCTAGTACAGCGGTGGGAGGGAGTTGTTTCCTTCCTCCGCACCTGGGTTCGAGTCTTACCGTGCATGTCTATCACCCTCGCGGTGCCTTACTTGCTCACTGGACTTGCAGGATGTTCAATGGGCCGTGGAGATTAGTCGTGGTGCGAGTAAGCTAACCCGGACACCCCCACATAAATCAAAAAAAAAAAAAAGAGCACATTGAGAGATATTGATCTTGGGAATGTCCTCCAACATCTTAAATGGGGAAATCTCCTTGTAAAATCCAACCAGCATTGAGAGTAGCGTATCATCAGCCATCTCTAACGATGACAATTGAACTTCAAGAATTTTTCTCAGCACAAATAATGGGATTTGGTTCTCAAGCATTACCATATCTCTGAGAATTGCGTTGTGGGCTGATTTTCTCCCTGCATAATCAACCAAATGTGACATTCTTGAGGAGACTAGTGAAAACGATCCCTTCTTTCACGTCATAAATTTGTAGGAATTCAAGCAAGAATGATGCATCAATGTCCATCATCCAGGCTAAACATTTTTTTTTTCCAATAATAAAGAGTATTTTTGGATGATATGTTTGAATTAAGATTAAGTTTTTCGTTTAAAAAATATTAAAAACACATCTCCATTATCAATTTGATACATTTAAAAGAAGTTATGAATGTTGACATCAAGTCCAAAAAATTAAGTAAAAGAGCAAAAATCTTTCATTAAAATACCAATCTCTTAAAATTGCGAATTATTTGTATATAGATAGGCTCATGCAATTATGAGAAATTTTTCTCACTTTTTTTTTGGAATCAACGGACTTATAGTCGAAAATTTTAAAAGAAACTTTCATTAAAATCTAACTTTTTGAGTAGTAATTCTAATTTTGCAATGTATTTTTAGTTTTTTTTTAAGTAATAGAAGCTTTCCATTACTATCGTTACTATCTCAAGATAAAAAAAAAATTAAAGCATAAAAATTTATTTTAAAAATTATTTTTCATTGGAGAGAAATAAAAGATATCAAGAATTTAATAAAGAAGTAAGATATAAAAATTAAACCTAATGATGCCTACAATATACTCACCTCTAAATATAATCCCATGAAAATTAGTCTTTTAAATCTATATATCCGGTAAATATTTGTAATATAGAAAAAAATACCTAAATTTAATATATTTAAGCTTCCCAACTCCAAAAAAAATCAAATAATTCGAGTTTAGAAGTGGAGTTGGATTCAATTATAAATCTAAACCCGAAAGCCGTGAACGCCCCTATCTAAAATCAACCAAAGATTGTCATTTGCCACCCGTAAGTCGTTGAAATTACAATTACAAACCCAAAGATTCCTAAATTCACCAAACACAAACTATTTAAAACCCCGAAACGGCCCTCGATGTTTCTGGATTCTACTTCTACAACTGCAAAGCGACTGCCTGGTCCGTCTCTCACTCTTTCACTCTCTCTTCTTCCTTCCTTACTCTCAAACCGAAACCAGAAAACTAAAAACAATCTCTTAAAAATAGGTAGCCATGGATCCAGAGACGGCGTTAGAGCTGGTAAAGCAAGGAGCCACACTCCTCCTCCTCGACGTCCCTCAGTACACTATTGTCGGCATTGACACTCAGGTACTGGAGATTCTCTCCGTTTAGTTGAATTTCGAAATTTATGCTATCGTGACTGACTGTGACAAATTGCAGATGTTTTCAGTGGGACCAGCATTTAAAGGCATCAAAATGATACCTCCTGGTCCTCATTTTGTTTACTACAGTTCTTCTAGTAAAGACGGCAAGCAATTCTCCCCTATCGTTGGCTTCTTCGTTGATGCGGCTCCGTCTGAGGTAGGGTTTCTTTTTATTTGATTGAATTTTTATTTTTATTAATTTCTGTTTTGAATGCTAATTTTTGAAATTTGTTCTTATTATGACTGCTTTTTTGCTTTTCATTTTTTTTTGTTAATGAACAGGTTATTGTTCGTAAATGGAATCAACAAGAGGAAAGGCTGGTGAAGGTTCCAGAAGACGAGGTTTGTGTTTATTTATCTTTTTGAATATGCTTCTTACTGTATGTTTTGAGTTACTTGTTGTGAAAATAGAATTAGTGATGCTGGTAACTTTGTGGTGATTTTTTCTTTTCTTGTTTAGTTTGCGGTACATTTGTAACACAAGCCTTGTTAATAGGAAGAATGTATTGTTCCTTATATTTTTTTTTTTCTTCCATCTAATATCAAGAGGGGAAAAGGAAAAACTGTCCAAGTTATGATTACCTGAGTCAAACTTTTTTGCTAATGAGTCGCAATCGCTTTAACAATTGGATGGTTTAGTCGAGTTGTAGTGTAGTTGGCTGGCTTTCCTTTCTAGAACTCTTTGGTGATCATTCTCTTGGAGCTGAGGATTATATTTTTCCTTCTAGTGGTTACAGTGGGCCATTTCTTAATTCCACCCAATTTACTTGGACAGTGTCCTTTGATCTGTTCCTTCAAATTTTTGGTACTTGTCTCCTTCAAGAGAAAAAAGTGTCGTGGTTTTGGTCCTCAGCTTACATTAGTGTCTCCTTCAAGAGAAAAAAGTGTCGTGGTCCTCAGCTTACATTAGCTGTCTTGGTTAGTTTCTTCTTTTATAAAGGTGTCCTGGGATATGAAAACTTT